ATATATATATATATATATATATATTATACATAAATATTTCTTAAATATATACATGTATGTGTGTATATTTATAAATATACACAGTACCCACATATATATTATGTAAACAAACTTTTATTTTGGATGTGATTAATCAATTTGACAGCACTACTTTATAGTAAAATATTAATATTTAATAAAATTAATAAATCATGAATAATAAATTAAATATTTATAAAACACCATGAAAATACAGATGTTAAAATATTTTGCACTGGTTATATTAGCGCTATAAATATATAATTTATAAAACTTTAAATGTATTAAATATTTTAAAAATATTCATGTATTTATTTGCTGCATCCGAAAGCGCTTAAATGCTGCCTTAGAAGGCAGCATTCCAAGGCAGGAAGGCATCAAGTCACGTCCGAATCCAAATTCTGCTTCACTTCCTGTCTCCGGAGGTACCTTCTTCTGATCGAATTTTGAAGGCAGCATAATAGATGTATCCTTCGCTGCCTTTGATATCCCACAATCCTGTGCGTTCCATTCCGTGACTGTCGAGCTAAAAAATAAAGATGGCGTCTGAAAGTTGCGTTTGGTGGTCAGTTTGTGTGTAAATGTATATTTCTGACTAATGTTTTGCACTTTTGATGTTATTTCTAGCGAGAAATCAGTATTATAGTCATTAAATATTCGTTTAGTTATCAAAACTCATTCTATTTTGTTGTAGATCATTAAACTGTTACGCTGCCTCAGAAGCCTGTCCGAAATCAGTTTCATGAGGTGCCTTCGTGCAAAAAACGCTGCCTGCAAAGTCAGCTGCCTAGGCTTTCGGACGCAGCCATTATTAAAAACTAATTAATTATTGAAAATTAAACAAGTTTCATTTAGAATAATACTTTAGTCATAAAATATACATTTTTAAAATTTCATAAATTTATTATTTTTAAAGGATGTATAAAATATTATAAAAAAATATATATTACACTAGTTATATTAGAATATGGTTGTATTAGCACTGGTTATATTAGCATTACAAATATTTAATGTATTACATTTTAACCTGCATCATTTTCTTTTTTTACTAACTTACTCATTCTTTTTGTAAATGAAATATTAAAATACAAATGTAAGCAATAAAATAGTTTATGGCATGTGGGACGTGTCCGTCTGATCCTGGGCCAGTGGTAGTCTGAACGGGATCACATGCGCAGGGCTCTGCTGGGGTCATTAGGGTTTCTGGATGCCTTGTAAATGGCTTTCATTTCCTCCTGTCTGTCACACACACGGCTCTTCTGACAGACCTGCCGTATGCGGGGAAGCTGAGCATGACGTGTAGTGGCAGACATGAAAAGAAATGAACAAAAGCTCTCTTAAAAGGCCCTCCTGCATCTCAGACGACTCGGAATAGATTTTTACACGCTTTTCATTCCAATGCGAGTGACGACATGTCTTTTTACAGCATCTGACTTTTACATTGTTTAACCAAATGTTGTTTTGTGCCGTTTTGGTCACTAGAACAAACAGATGACATATGAATTGTATGCACTGTTGTGTTTTAGGATGTTCACCATGGAAATGGGACTCAACAGGCCTTCTACAGTGACCCTAATGTCCTGTATGTGTCTCTCCATCGCTACGATGATGGGAACTTCTTCCCTGGCAGCGGAGCCCCTGATGAGGTGGCTTTCATGAACATTTTGACAGGATTTGATATACACTACTATTCAAAAGTTTAGGGGCGGTAGGGTTTTTGAAAGAAGACTCTTATTATCACTAAGGCTGCATTTATTTGATCAAAAATACAGTCAAAACGGGAATAATTTGAAATATTTTTACAATTTAAAATAATCATTTTCTATTTGAATATATATTAAAGTGTAATTTATTCCTGTGATGTAAAGCTGAATTTTCAGCAGCATTAATCCAGTTTTCAGTGTCACATGATCCTTCAGAAATCATTCTTATATGCTGAATTGATTATATTTGAATTGAAATTCTGAATTGAACATTTCTTATTATTATCAATGTGGAAAACGGTTGTGCTACTTAATATTTTTGTGCAAAGTGTGATTTTTGTTTTTTTTCAGGATTCATTGATGAATACAAAGAAAAGCTTTAATTTTAAGTGGAAATAAAAATCTTTGTTAATAATGTGCAGGAGAAGTTTTTACTGTCACTTTTGATCAATTTAATGATAAATAAAAGTATTATTCTTTCTCAGTGATCCCAAACTTTTGAATGGTACTGTGTATCACACTATTTATGTATTTGCTTTGAAACATCTGAAAATATTACTTTTTCCCAATTTCTTTTGTTTATAATTGTTTTCAGTAAGAGGAACCAAAATGTATACCAGACAGCCATTGTTGCCATGTAAATTATAAATGAAAGAAATACAACAATATTTACACATGCATGTAATACCAGTATTTTGACACAAACGTCTGAGACTACTTTGAAAATCTGAAATCCAAGATCAGATTTCAACTTGAACATAAACACAGTTTTGGGGTTTTGAGAAATGTAAAACTAAGAAAAATTGGTAAAACCTAAAGACAAAATGTTTAATATTTTGCACTATTTCTGCGATTTCAGATTTTTTCTGCACTATTTCAGTCGTTTGTTCTTTCTTCCATTAAAAATTGTCGAGATTTATACAAGATTTTTACTTGAATTGGTATGCTTGTGATTTTCTTTTAATTAAAAGATTCAAACTAAAAGCATTTTCTCTGGTGGTCCAAGACTGTTGGACCTCACTATATATTCTGAATATCTCCTATATCTCACATCAACCTGACATGAGCAGCGCAAAAGACAGTAGTGTTCTTCTTTTCCCTCTTTATTTGACTCCAATTTCTCTCAGTTATAATTAATGCTCATTATCATTAATCTGGCAAGTCAGCTCCTGCCTCTGCACTAATGAGGGTATTGAAATTTAATTGACTCCGTTGTAGCCCTAAATTCTGCTATTTGTCAAAGTCCATTTGGCTTTCAAATAAAACCTCATTACAGTTTCACTCTGGTCATAATTGTGGGGATTTGTCCTTTATTGGCTCTGTGATATCAGCCTTAATTTAGCGGTTTCTCTGGGGATGTTTGAATGTGCATGATTCATAATACCTGCTCATCTGCTCCAGTAAGAGCTTTTTTGGGAATTAGAGGGAGTTTACTAAACCGCACATTTACAGTGCCGTGAAAATGTTTTTTGCCCCCTTCCGGTTTAAATTTTTTTTGCATATTTGTCACACTTAAAAGATTCAGATCATCAAACAAATTTTAATATTACACAAAGATAATGCAAGTAAATACAAAATGCAATGTTTAAATGATTTCATTTATTAAGGGAAAAAAGCTGTCCAAACCTACCTGGCCCTACGTGAAAAATTAATTGCCTGGACGACTTGCCATAATTGATGGAGCCATGAATTCTACACACTATCAGAAAATCCTGAAGGAGAATGTCCAGCCGTCAGTTTGTGACCTCAAGCTCAAGCGCACTTGGGTTATGCAGCAGGACAATGATCCCAAACACACCAGCAAGTCCACCTCTGAATGGCTCAAGAAAAACAAAATTAAGGTTTTGGAGTGGCCAAGTCAAAGTCTGGACTTAAATCCGATTGAGATGCTGTGACATGACCTGAAACAGTCGAGTTTCATGCTCGAAAACCCTCCAATGTGGCTGAATTAAAACAATTCTGCAAAGAAGAGTGGGCCAAAATTCCTCCACAGCGATGTGAAAGACTCATTGCCAGTTATCGCAAACACTTGATTGCAGTTGTTGCTGCAAAGGGTGGCACAACCAGTTATTAGATTTAGGGGGCAATTACTTTTTCACATAGTGCCAGGCAGGTTTGGACAGCTTTTTTCCCTTAATAAATGAAATCATCATTTAAAAACTGCATTTTGTATTTACTTGCATTATCTTTGTGTAATATGAAAATTTGTTTGATGATCTGAATCTTTTAAGTGTGACAAATATGCAAGAAAATAGAAAAAAAGAGGAAGGGGGCAAAAACCTTTTCATGGCACTGTAATTGAATTGTATTTGTGTCTGTAGGTGGGCATCGGGCCAGGCATGGGCTTTAACGTGAACATGGCCTTCACCGGAGGTCTGGAGCCGCCCATGGGAGACGCAGACTATCTGGCAGCATTCAGGTAACACCGTCACCCATATATACATTTTACACCAAAATGACAGACGGTCTATATAACCTTCACATAGCATATTACTGTCTTTGTTTACATATATAATGCAGCTCAGCATCTTTTTGCCATCATGAGCTGACAGTATTTGCCATCATGCCATCATGAGTTTTTGTACTAGAAATCAAGTCAATAGACTTAAAACTCTTTAATACTAGGGCTGGGCAAAAAACTTTTTTTTTCAATTAATCGTTTTTTTAAATGACGTCGATTCGATATCGATTCTCAAAAGCCGCGAATCGATCTTTTCCGGTAATTATTTCAGCACACATTTAAAACAAGATCTGATTAACGTGAATCTTATAATTAGTCTTCTCCACTAGATGTCACCCTTATTTACCTTGCGCGATGTTACAGCAGAAAGCCTGTCATTCATTTAGCGCTTATCATGGCCATACGCGTGATTCGCAATGCTCAGGTGAAATGCTATAGTAATAGCCTACTATAAATATGCGGAAGCATTTGATATCACGCATAATGCGCCATGATTTCCGCAATGAATGAAAGGCGGATGGCGCAGCGCACTGTTTTGTTTACTACACACATACTAAAGCCCGGATGACGCTCGCGGTATTTTCAGCTTCTGCCGTCTCACTATATGATGATATGAACACGAATGTCATCTCCAGCTGCTCTGAGAGCCACTTCATTAGCATTTTAAAGGCTATAGTATTAAAATTACATACATATGGATATTGTATGTATACTCTCACAATATCTGCTTCTATTCTTGAACACTTGATGATTATCTAATCAAAATAAAAGCACAGCGCTGAGTCTAGGAGAACTCACC